ATTCCTTCTTTGTTTCATTTCCTGTTTAAAGGAAGGGTATACCAAGTAGCATGGCAGCAGAAATGCAGAAAATCTTGCTTTTATGATCAAAGTGTAGATGAACTGTATAAGACAATTTCCACCTGATCAAATCTCAAGTCTAGAAGACTTGTAGATCTAGGCTGGTGTTATGTTCTGAAATTTTTATTTAGGTCTGAAGCTGAAGGGAGCTTGCTTAATGCCAGTAAACACAATAAGGTTAGATTTAGATATATTCCTCTACTTGCATCTTTCAAAGCTATTTTATGGTTGATATAGTGCACAAGATCATACACATTATGAAGCTTCAATAAAGAGTGATTTTAAACACACAAATTCTTGCAAAATAGGCCTTTCATGAAAGTTCTGTGAATCTTAATGTAGACATGTTGGACACATTTATGCTATTTGAAAAGAAAACTACAAATTACAGTTAAATTGATCATAAACATAGAAAATTTGGCAATTTAAGTATTTATTTATTTGGCCAGAACCTTTATTTTGAACTCTGAAGAAATACTAAAAACAATATGAAACTAGTTTAGTTTAGTAATTAAAAAAAATTGTATAAAAATACAGAGCAGAACAAACAAGCCCCTTAAAAGAACTCTAATTCACGGGAAGAATCAACCACGAGTTTTTTTAGTGCCACTACTCATTATTTTCTCTGTGATATTTTGAAAAAAAAACTTAAGGAGCTTCTCTGCCTATTTTTCATAACAATGTGTGGTAGTAACCTAACATTAGGCTGGAAACTATTGAAGAGAACAATAGAAAAACAAAGGTGAATAAATTAACCTTTTTTGGCAGATGTTAATCCAGGGTAAATGTGGTGTTCTGCAGTCTGCAACTTATTAGGTGATTTGACATTGAAGCTATAAAGTTCTTCCATATTACTAAAAAATAAAATAAATACGAAAGATCGCCTTGCAATTCATGTTTCAGAAAGAGCACAAAGTAATCAAAAGGTAGTACAAGTTATTAACTGGAAAAATTCATAGGTAATGATAAACTTTCTTTTTGTTTTATGAACCGTTCTGTATATTTAATAGAAAATTATAATTTTGTTGGAGACTTCTGTGGAATAGCCCCAAAAACCAGAAGTAGGATAATCATTTTCCATTAAGGTCCATGAGACTTTTAGAGAAGTCTTATATAACTCAACTTGTTTGATGATTATGAAATTCTGACACTTATTCCATGTCTCTGAAAACAACTATATATTTTATAAATAAGACAAGTTATATTTATCCACTTCCCATCATGTATGTGTTTTGTCAGCTACAGCAGACTGGATAGAGGATACAGGACATTATATATTTGATCTACCTAGTGCCTTGTGCCTGGTCAATGCAGAGAAGCAACTGCTTCTGAAGTTCAGGGAAATGAAGTAGCTGAGACACTGTCATGCTTATACTGCTACATGTATGGCTAATTTCTAACCCTAGAGTCAGTTTTTATGGCCTGGCTTGCAGCTACGTAGATTAGGATGAGGCCGCTTTAAGGCAGAGTGCACAGCAATTGGCTCTGAATCATGTCTGGGGCCTCTGTGGTGCCCTAAAGACATAATTATCATTAATACATGGGGCGAAGGGGGAGGTCTGGTGGGTCTTTTGATTGTTTGTTTTGGTGTGCGATGGGTTTTTTGTTTTGTTTGTTTTGCTTGTTTTTGTTTTGCAATTAAAGAGTTGGAGACAATATGAATGATATACTGCAGCCCACCAGAGCGGTGTTTGTGTAGCGTGAAATTGAGGGCAGATGTTCCATCCCTGAAGGAGTGGCGTGAGGACATGTGGAAGGTGTTGAGGATGCAAAGCCTGCTCTGGTAGTGTTTCAGGACTGTGTATGTTAGAGGGAGACTTATTTGGGAACAGATCTTGCAGTGGATGATTCCCCCGATCCTTGCTTTGCTGTCATCTTGGAGAGAGCCAAGGGGTGAGCAAAAACAGGCAGGAAGTAACCTGTCACTGAGGCAGAGGCAGCATGGGTAATCTAGTGCTTAACCGCACTGCCTGGATGCCTTTTACTTGGTAGTGTAGACATACCTCCCGAGGTTAGTCCTACTACAGGCACTCAATTCAAGCACATGACTGAAGTGCCTTATTCCAGAGCCTTAGCACTTTGGGTTTCCTTTATAAACGGGTGTCTCCAGAAAATAGTACATCCTAGTGAAAAACTATATCAAATACCTTTTAATTTCCAGTATTTGTGCTGCTAGTAATAAAACTCAAGCTATCTGGAGTAAATATTCTAGCTGCGTTTGTATTAAAAATATAATGTGTGTACTGAGATTTTTTTTTCTTTTTTTCCCCTGCAGCTGTGACTCTGAAAATAGGTATCTTGGAAATCCACTTAGGGGAACATGTTACTGTGAGTACTTATGTTTTTCACGTTCACTATTTGAGTGCCATTTACACATTATGTTATAATTTCATTTGCCCTGTAAAACAAACTGAATATTCTTCTGAGGAAATTCTGAACAGGGCAACTTTGAAAAATTAAATTGAAAAATAAAGCGCCCCTCTGGACTTCGCTTGGTCTCAGTTTGTCCACAAAGAAAGCACTAAAACCTACTGAAAGCTGATTCCTTATGCATATGCTAGAGTGAATGATCAAACCAGTGCATTACTCTCTGTATCTCAACATATGTGAACAAAGGGAATATGTAATTGTGTCATTGTGTAAAAGATAGAGTTTGTAATAGGGAAATAGAAATAGGCTAAATGGCAATATTTCCTAGTGACATTCTGCATGGTTTAGCCAGTCAGTATGTGTCCCAGGAACGTGGTCCACAGCTGAACTCCAGTATATTATAAATTAATAAAGCACATGTGTTGCCCCATGTTCTTACTGTTGTAGCAAAGGTGCCGTAGGCAAAATGATTTTACAGCATTACCTTTCTGATAGTCATAGTGAAAGACGTGAAGGGATGGGAAGGGAATGCTTATTACCAATGTGCAGAAATCCCTTAGTGAGCTCTTTATTTGCTGTCCTAATATCAATGTTAAATAGTAATTTTATTCATCATTAAAAAAAGTACGTGAAGTTAGAGGGTGCTGTCTTTCCTCTTGCGACTGTTGTACATACCTTCTCAATGTCAGACAATTGGATCCGACTGTATGTTATTTCCTAATGCTATTCCCTATCTTGACCTTAAATTGTGTAAAGATGTATCTCTTAAAACGTTTTGATCTTTGGCCTTATTTTTTACCATTTCATTTTAGAGCATATACAAAAGTTTTGTTTAAGAGTCTCTTGATGGCATCATTTACTAATAATTTTTTTTTCCTTACTGATATATTTCATTTTTAACTGAAATGAGTTGCGTCTGCAAGGTATGTTTGACAAAATAAAATAGACATAGTCTGTGTTACAGATGCTGATAGAGCCCTAGGTCTAAAACATTCAATCCTTTGCCAATTAAAAAAAAAAAAAAAAGCATTTTTCCCACAATGTCAAGTGTAATACTTCAAGGTGGAAGTTCTTTTTTTAATATTGTGTTTCCAATATACTGTCAATATAGTTGACTGTTTTCATAAAATAGGCCTAACTGAATACTCCTTAAATCTATGTTCTGCAAAAACAGTTGATCGAATGAATTCAATTCGATGTGTTATATGTCTCTACAGTACATTTTTCTTACTTCAGAACAGAAATTCCAGTATTTAGAGGACTGGATTTTTATATGTATTCATTTCAGAAGTTATATAGATTCAAAGCTAGATAAGGAGTACATGAGAAGAGCATACTCTAAAGACTTAAAGTACTACATAGAATATTTTGAATATGTCTGTTAACGTTTGTTTTCTACTTTAAAAATAAATGCTATTAAATTTAAGAGGTGGAAATGAAATGACAGTAATGAGATTTGTAGACCTCAGGCACCTCCAAGAAATATCTTATTTTTTGCTATCATGTTGCAGGCTGGGTCTGTAAATCACGTCGGAGACAAATTGTACTATATTCAAGATAGCCTTTAACCCTTAACTCACTACTCTAATTTATCTTCTTTCAGATTTCAAAATATTTTAAAGATCTTGTTGTTTTGGTTTAATACATCTTCTTTTAATAATTTCAGTCATTACATGTTTAGCATATGACAAAATTTTCAGAGTTATCTTATCTGGAGGTAATCAGGAGCCTGCACTAATTTCAAATAATGGAATGTCTTATTTCTTATATTTAGTGGCTAATGCATCCTAATTGGAAATTATTCCTGTTAATTTGTGGATAACTGACAGACCTAAGATTTCAATGACAGTTGGTTATTGGCACTGTAGATCACCTGCTAAATAATGTATTAAAAATGTTTGTCATAGAGATGCCCAAATTTCTTAGCTATATAAGGACAAAGTAAGCAAGCTTATTTTGTAGTTTTAAAATATAACTTTACCATGAGCTATCATTTGTATAAGAAAATTTAAGATATGAAAGACACATGCATTTGAACAGTATTTTTCTATGTTCAATTTCACTCCTGTGGGAGGTAGTGATTAATCTAAATACAGATACTATGACAAAAGAATAAACTCAGATAGCAGTGATGTCATTGCATCCTAGAGGTGACAGAATGAGAGTATGAGAATGAGAACAAACCTCACACGCAGATCTAAAACTTAGGAAAATACTGAATATATAAGAACATATGAGCAAATGTGTGATGGTCTATATATTCTTCTATGATGTTGTCAGTAGTGACTGAAAATAAAAGCCTGGGGAAGAGTGTATTAACTGGACAAACACGCCATGATATTTCCCCCAAATAGTCTCTTTACATCCAGCAATTTGCAGCTCAGGAACTTTGTGGGAAGGATTTCCTGAGCCAGAAACGTTTGATATATGTTTAGGAATACCAAAGAAAACCTTACAAAGGTTTCTTATAAATAACGAGGGAGAAAACGTAATTACAAAGGAAAGAGTTGCATGAATTTAAAAGCTACAGTTTTGCTATTTTATTTGTAATATTCCTGTAGGTCGGGTAAAAGTCTGCTGATAGGTTGTAGCTCTGTATGTCTATAGGAAAGTATGTATCCCTAGGCCTTTCTATTATAAGCTTATCTTTCAGTGAATGATCGTAAGTTGATTCAATCCATATAAATGAATTCTGAGTGGAGGCCAGAGATGGTTGTGCAGTTGACTTATGCATGTACAAAACCCGTAAATATAACATTTTGTCATGATGCATTTGTACGTGTCATTGTTATTGTTGTTCTTTGGTGCCTCAGCCAATGTGATGTATAACAGTGACACCTGGATAGCAACGTATGCATTCAAATTGCTGGATTAGTTCTTCACACGTCCACATTAGAAATACATTACTTTGAGAATCAGTGCTTCTGGATGCAAAGAAGCAGGCAGCCAAACCAGATGGTTTTGGACTGATTGGAAAGAATCACTGGGATGAATACCACTTTCATGATTCTGACTTGAGTTGTGTTCAGACACAACGCTTTAAGTCATAAATAGATAAATAGTTAAACCAGTGTTCTAGAAAAACTGAGTTTAAATTTACAATTCATGACAAGTTATTCTGTAAAGGATAGATTACAAGTTTTTGGGCTGCTTCAGCCCTGTTACCTACAAATTTTTTAGTGAATGGAACCTACTGATGCTTTCGTTTCCTTGTCATTCTGCATCCTGTGCCAACTTTCCCAACCCCTCTCCTCCTGAGGCTGTTACTGCTGATTTCTTGTTCATTTCTTACCTTCATATCTCTGGGACTGCAACTTTGTTTGTCTTCCATATACGATGCCACTGCTACTGCTTACCCCTTCCAAAGGGGTAAAGTGACAAAATATTTGTCACTTCTGAGAAAAAAAAAAAAAAAGTCATCCCTGAAGCCCAAGCAGATAAGCTCAGCAGTATTCAGCTTACGGTTTTCTCCAGGGTATGCTTCTGTTTAATATTGGGTTACGACACTGTGATGGCACACCTCACCAAATACTAGACTGCATACCGAACTGCACTGAGAGAGACGCACACATTTGCTTCCCTAATATTCCTCATTCCATACTGCTGCGTTCAGAAGAGAAGATACCCTATTTATGCCTTTGATTTTTTTTCTTTTAAGAAAACATAGGTTTTACCTTTTCTGTGTGTATCAATCAGATCTTTCAGCGAATGATAACAGGTATAAAGATGCTTGTATGCTAGTAAAGAAACACAGATATGGATTAATAGCAGTTGAAACATGTAATGCAAACTGTTAGCAAGAGGAGACAATGTAATTTTTAAGGAATGTGCGTGTATGAACACATGCATGTATGTGCGTTTGTGGACTTAGTGCATGACAGCTTTTGATTTAAAAAGAAAAATAAAGTCAAATAAAAAGCGTACTAGAGGTGGCCATAAAGCACTAGATGGCAGACTTGTTATACTTAGAAAAACATTAAACTCAAGAACATTCCAAGGAGAGTATTTCAGAAGATAAATAACAAATAGCACTTTTATTAAAATTGTTAACAGAGATTTTTCAGATATTTAAAAATTATGTTGAAACTTGAAGGGCAGAAGCAATCAATTTTTTCAGTAGGAAAGGTGTTTATTTTAGCTGAATTGTGAGATGTGTACCAGCAGTTAGATTCTTTGCTACTGGTCGTTAGAATTCCTGTTTCCTTTTGGGACAGCATTAGTTTACACTAAATACATACTGTAATTGTAAAACTATCGAGCTTGACTTAAAATAATGAGTTCCACCAGTTTATATCTAATGACGTTGATACAGATCGAGGCAATTTTTATTATTGTTCAATACAAACAATAATGACTGTCATTGTCTTTTTGAATATATAGAATTGTATGAATAAATGCTATTTTAAAAGAAACCTACTTAGTGTTTAAAGAGTCTAGTGGAACAAATTATAGTTTGAATCAGGCAATTCCAGGATGGTTTGAGGAAAGATTGGCCTCAGCAAACCCATGAAGTGGGAACATACAAAAAGCAACAAACACAGTCTTTACCCTGAGCTAAAATAATGACACAAACCAATCGTAGCCTTCCAGGGAATTAAAAAAAAAACAACAAAAAAAACCCACGCTCAGACTCCTAAGCACCTAGTAAAGTATTATGATCTCACCTTAGGCTTTGTGTATACGTTTGCCAAATGCTATGTTGACTTGAAGCATTTCTGGATGGACTAAAGAAACTGTTGCTGCTGATCATCATCAGACTTTACTGTAATTTGGAGAACCTGTCCATGTATATACTTAATTTTTTATTATTGGGAATTTTCTTAGCAGGTCTATTTTAGAAAGCACAGTTTATTTTTAAAATGAAGCTTATTTCTCTCTGTGATGGCTTTTGTTGATGTAGCAGGGAATTTACTGGTTGGCATCCCCTTACAGATGCTATCAATGCAACATTTGTCAGG